CTTGTGACAGTGTGATTTGCTCCATGCTCAGCCTATGAGCATAGTCCACATCCTTTTCAGATGAATCATTCTCCACTGCTGCTGTCAACCTTGAGCCCAACAGAGAAACCTTGTTGTTTATTTCCCCTGGTGGTTTCTAGCCAAGCGGTGACTCAGCTGTCAGAGGTGAATAACTCTTCACGCTTTATCCGAACACTCATTAACCAACCAGAGCCATAAAAAGCAGTTTCTTCCAGAGCTCCCCCTCCATAAGGCTGGATTTCAAAGCAAGAAGGCTGGACTGAGATTTACTGGGGAATTCATAAAGGTGCTCAATAAAAATAGATCTGCAGAGCATGGAAACCTTGTATGGTTCTGGGTCATATGGCAGAGGGTTTTATCAGCAGAGAATGAGGGTCAGAAAAGAGAGGCAGATCCTACCCACAGCGCATGGCGAAGCCTAGAGCCACTGCACAGAAATCATTAACAACAAAAAGCTGCTACCCCAGACATTTGCCTGAGTCCTACTCCTGCCCCAGGACCTGCTGCTATTTTATTTATCTTCTTTTTCTTCTTTCTCTGAAATCTCAGCAGTGAGAATTTCCTCATCTTCTTGTGCTGTGGAAATCACACGAATGGTGACTATATGATCAGATGATTCTGAGGATATTTCTTGTCCCAGGTGACTCTGTGCTTTGTGGGAGGTGACAGGTGATCTCTGGTGCACTGGTGATTTCGGTGGGCTTGGACTGAAACTGGAACCCTGCAAGAAAAAAAGGCAAAATCAACTTTAGCAGCCTCTTGCCCACTGCCCCCAACACAGTGTCTGCTATGCAAAGCTGGGCAGGTGTTCTGCAGTTCCACCACAGGACTTCTGCACTGGGATATCAGCTTGATGCTGGAGATGCCCCCTGCTAGAAGGACAGCTGGATTATATCCTACATGTCTTGAGAAGCACATAGAGAGGTGCACAGTGGAGCTTTCTCACTGCACTAGCCCTTGTTTTGCTCCTGAAGCATGTGGAAGGGCTGATTTTGTCAAAACATGGCAGAAGTGGTGTTGTGAGGGAGCAGTCCCAGACTGCCCTGCCCTCCTTTAGAGAGGAGCCTTAGAAACCTGCCCTAAGGATGTGCCATGGAGAAGGATGTCCTTGCAGTGGAGTCCTGCTACCTGTGCATTAGTGAGGTTAGTTCAGTGATGGGTCTGGTTGCCACTACCCTGCAGAGCCTGTAGTGCCACTATTCAGTGCTGCTGTTAACTGGTTATGAATTAGTGTTAAGCCCCACGTTATGTGAAGCCTCGTGGTGCCCCAGTGAAGGACTGCAGAAATGCAGCTATGCTTGGAATCTCCCTGGGTGTTTACCCAGCCTCAAGGTCACCACACACTCCCTATCAGCTACTCTTTCACCTCCCTCTACACAGCCAGATGTGATAGTCTGCATGGTTCCATGCTGGGAAGACTAACAACAAGGTCTGCATGGAGATAAAATTTTGTTTTCAAGTTTAGCTGAGACAATTGGAAGAAAAAAAGATAAACAAAGGGCAGGGCCATTTTCTTTTCAGTCTGTCATGACAAAAATCAGGGGGTTCATGCAGAATTAGTAGGATGGTGTTGCCTGCTGTAGGTGCCTCTGCCCCAGCTGCACTGGAAAAGCTTTGATGTATCGACTGGGCTGTGGGTGCTGGGTGCCAGCATCACCCTCCATCCTGCCAGCACACCAGTTAATTATGAGTGGCTCTGTCTCTGCAGCACAGAAGAGACATTTGTTTTACTGTGGCTACAGCCCAGATGGAAATGAGACTCAAGCTTAGCATAGCTAGGCCAAAAGTCAGCGTACTTTTGTTTTGCAACACAATCCCTTGTGGGACACTGATGTTCTCCCCAGGCCCCGTGTAAGATGTTGTGTCACCTCTTGCCTTCTGCTTATGCTACATTAGACCCCAGTGACCTGAGCTCACTCCTTTAAGGCACCTTAATGACTCTGGAGCTGGTGGTGGGGGAGAAGAGACTTGGCATCTAGTGGAGCAAAGCCGAACTGTCATCCTCCCCACACCGACCTGCACTGCCTGCATCTCCTTCAGCTCCTTCAGCCTCCAGCGGAGCTGTGCCAGTGGCCCTTTGCCCCCCATCCTCCCTGTGGCAGCCAGGGCAGCCTTAAAGAGCTTCGGGGTGCCAGTTTTCGAGGGGATGATCAGCGGGTCTCCAGGGCCTCCTTTCTCATCTTTGGGTTTGCTATTGCTTTTCAGCATTTTCCTAGAGTAGCAAAAGGAGAGATGATGTCAGTCTGGGAGCACATTGTACTAGCTGGATTTTAGAACGCAGAAAAAAACCAGGCATTAAAAAGGACAGGGATTTTTCTATGCCTTAGGAAGGACAGAATATAATCTAAGCGATACTAACCCCTAAAATTTTAATAGATATTTAAAGGAAGGCACTTTGGCTACGTTCGTACCCGACCTCCACCCACGGTTAGTGGCTCAGGTTCGCGGCAGGGCTGGAGCACTCGCAGCCCAGCGCCGAGGG